TATAGAGACTGGTAGAAATCATAGAGGGAAGCACAATGGACCAATACAGGTCTCAGTGCATGGGGAAACCCACACTCTCCAATAACTAACTAACTAACTAACTAAGGTCAAATCTGGGAAAGATATGCTTTCTTAATAAAGCACATCTTGAAGACAAGATTTTAGATTGTGTGAAAGAATTTTCTTATTTTAACTGGCTGAAGAACAATGCTAGTAATAATACTAGTGCAGTCGGTATAGTGACTGGCTGCTGGCTGGACGACTGAGGGGTCGAGTTTGATTCCCGGTGGGGGCAAGAATTTTCTATTCTCCAAGTGCAGACTGGCTCTGGGGTCCACCCAACCTCCTATCAAATTGGTACCGGGGGCTCTTTCCCCAGGGGTAAAGTGGCAGGGGTGTGAAGCTGATTACTCACCTCCAACTAGTGCCAAGGTCAAGAAAATGTCAATCTATATGTCCACTCCCCCATACACCTTCATGGTATAGTGCTTAATTAGTTAAGCACAGGGACAACTTTACCTTTACCTTTTACAGATATATGCCACAAGATACTGATTATAGTTACACAGCAGAATTAAACAGAACATCTAGATGGAAGTGTCAAAAAAGATGATCAGTATCCATTTTGAATTACTATTCATGAGGAAGAGATATTTGTAGACCTTGTTAACATTGGATTGAAGCCAGAACAGGCTTGTAGCCTATCCTTGGAAGTGAGACAAAGAAGAGCCCTATAGTTTAAACTCAAGGTAGGCAGGTGAAGAAATCTTATGCTGGAAGTTTATACTTTGATAATGAAAAAATTTAACTTCATTGGTATCATTTTTGTATTTCACAAACTTATAATTATAACTGCTACCAATTCTTTTCAGACTAATCAAATTTTATGTGGACATTAGATTAATTAGTCGTGTATATTTTTGCTACTCAGAATTTGTGTATGCTACTGATATGCAGTTTTGAACATATAAAGTGATAGGCCTTATATTTTTGTGTAAACTGAGGTTTGTAATCTCATAAAAAAAACAAGCTTAGTTACATTTCTAAGTTGGCAGAATGCAAAGGATAAACTGTTTTAAGACCTAAACCAAAAATTACATGAAAACGTTCATCTTAGCAGTTTATTTTCCTGCCATGGCAGCAGGTTCAGGGCAGAACTTCAGTATTAATTATTTCAATGAAATATATACCTGCACAACAGAGCTTTCATCGATAATTATATAATGAATTGAAGCACAACTGAAAACGTTTAATATAGCAGAGGTCTTCAATAATAATCTTTCAAGCTGACATTTTAAATTAATCCTTACCGAGTTTTCTGAACACTGATTTATGGAATCTACTTACCTCAAAAGAACAAGTAGAAATTGTCTAGAATTATTGATGGTTCCTTTTGAATAAGTTTTCTTCCAAACCCTCTTCCCTGATGTAGGCAGTACAGTTCCTCATAAGCAGACCAATGTTTCTTTTTATTTATAATTCCCCTCTAGGTTTTAGATCCGTACTTTGCTTACAGTGTCTGTATTGAAAACATGTTATGCTCCATAATAATGTGTATCTCTTAAGTGCAACAGTGGAAGAAAGAAATGTTTTAAATGCCTATAATAAGATTGTTTCTTCATGTGCTAGAGCTTGAACTGACCCAAAACACTGAATGTCATGGTTCACTAGTTAGCACCACTGTTTTATATTCAAGAAATCCCAGGTTCAAAACTCAGACTAGAGGTCCCCCGTCTCAACTGAAGCACGATATTAAATGAATGAATATGGGACTCGTAGGAGGACCCTCTACTAAAAGAGTGAAGGAACTGTTGAAGTTAAACAGGAACCAGCTACAGTGGTAGGATTACTTACAGGACATCTCTTCAAATTGGGACTAAGTAACAGTCCAACTTGTGATAGGTGTCAAGAAGAAAACGAAACAGCCACGCATATCCTGTGCGAAAGTGAGGCCTTAGCTTATTTAAGATTGCGTCTCTTGGGTCAGTACTTTATGGAACCAAGTGACTATTTTGATGTTCCCACGTACAAAATCCTATGCTTCATTTGAAGCGCAGGATTGTTGAGGGGATAATCAGAAGGGGAGGCACAATAGATCACTGGTTGTGGTGCAAGGGCCAAGAAGGTCCACCCCTTATGCATTATTCAAGCATGGTATTACTTACTTCCTCCTTCCTTTGGCATTTCTTTCCCATTCATCTTTCACAAATCAGCCTACCATTTGTACTTATGTACATATTCTTGACCTAGGCAGTTGGAAAAGAGTTCTTAAATAAACTGAGACTAAATCAATTAAACACAATCAAAGATGTGTGAAATGTATGCTGATTTTATAAATGACATCTGATGAACTGTGTTCACTCCATGGGGCTGTGCCCTTCTTGAGAATCCACCAGTTGCAGAGCTGTTCAAGAATTTCCCAACATTTTATGGAGCCTGAAGGTTCATTACTATGTTCACAGGAACCCTCCATTGGTCTCTATTCTGAGCCAGATCAATCCAGTCCATTCCAACCCATTCAGTCTCTCTCAGATACACCTTAAATATTATCCTCCCACTTATGTCTAGGTCTTCCTAGTGGTCTCTTTCCTTCTGGCTTTTCCACCAAAATACTATATGCATTCCTCTTCTCCCCATGCCCTGTCCATCTAATCCTCCTTGACTTGATCGTTCTAATTGTACATGGCATAGGGTACAAGTTCTGAAGCTCCTCATTATGCAATTTCAAAAGTATTGACTGTACATATGGTCAGCAATATTAGGCAAGTAGAAATACATACAGCTGAGCTGTTAGTACCTGATTATAGTACTTTTGATGTTGAAATTATTACTGCAAAGTTGAAAAAATATAAATTGGCAAGTAGTGATCAAAAAATGATAGAAAACAAAATATGCTTATTTCATTAGTACGTACCACTTTTGCTTAAAATATTCTCTACTGCCTATATATAACAAGATATGTTTCAAAGTGTTTTGACCCTAATGGGACATGTTCTCTGATACTGAAACCAGAATTGAGCTTGTCACATATTTAAGTAGCAGTATTAAATTTTCTTAATACTTTTTATGTATTGTGTACCATTTTATGCTGGGAGATAGGCAAGCAGACCAAAGACTCTAGGTGCTATCATTTGCTAACATGCCAGCAGATTGTAAAGTAACGTTATAATTAATTTTAAATACTGCAGATTGAATTTTACTGTAGGTGCTGGAAAGATATATTATTGTAAACTGCTTTTATTAATCTATGAGGTTTAAATTAGCAGTACAACCCTAAAACGTATCACTAGCATTTATCATGCACAAAATAACATTTTTCTATTAGAATATTGCACAGTAAAAATCTGTTCGATAAGAGGTTTCGTATCCCTGAGTCCTATGTTTGGTTGCCGCATCATATTGCTTATATTTAGAGTTACGCATGATAGAATTCTTGACATGACATTCAATGTACAGTATCTTAAAAATAGTTGCTTCATTAAGTTGTGATGTCAAGCATCTGTGAAGAACATTTGTATTCCTGTCATGAAATTAAGATGGTCATGTTATAGGATGACTGAGGTGTAATTCTAACAATATGTATTCTTGGAAGTATTTATACAGAAAATTAGATTGATTTATAGCACCGTGTATAGTTGTTACACCTGTAGGAGAAGAAGAAGTCAATTATGGAACAAGATACTAACATATAAATAATATTGCACTGATGATTGATTATGTCATGTTTGTGATAGTCATTGTGAATTTGCCACACTTTACTCTTCATGAATAATGATGTGATTAAAACAAAAATTGTTGCAAGTTTTGGCTTTCCAATTCTTTAATTGTAGTGCTTTATATTTCACATATTATTATGCATATTAGGAGCTGCTGATTCACTCAGNACAGGCGTGACCAGAGTGGTTTGAACGGCTGTTGTACTGCGATGTGGAAAGCAAATGGAAAAACTACCACATTATCACTTTTCCTGGATAGTCTCTTTCCAAAAACAGAAGATCGCATTAAATGAAGGAACATTTTGGAAGAGACTGTGGACCTGTCGTCTGACAGATTACTGATGAATGAATGAATTAGGAGCTGCTGATTCACTCAGTTTTCTGTTGGTGTGGAAGTGCAGTGGGAAGATAGTGTTTCAGAATTCCATGACAATGATATTAAGGATATAGGGAATATGAATTATTGTTTGTTTGTGTCAGGATTCTCGTAAATGTATCAATAGTTGTAATTGAATTGTTAATGGAGTTCTGGATATTTGGATTTGTGATCCAGGACAGAAACTGATATAAACAATTGTGACATGTATACAATAAAACATTAATTTGAACAAATAAAATATATATTATCAGCAAAAGCATATGCTATTTTAACATAGATAAGTAACAATTTGTAGTTGATTTTACAGCAGTCTTGATATCACATAAGTTAGAATGAAATGTATGGCTTAATCCAATGCTAAGCTAACACATATAAGCAGGTACAAGATAAGGTGTGATTTTCAGATATATTGAAACAAATACTATAAAAGCATATCATATGAAAATATATTTCTTTATTCAGGTTTGCACAGGAATATTTTTACACAAAAATTATATCAGGGGTTAAAAAATACAGTTATCTGGTTACCAGTGGCAACCAGAAAAATTTGATTTGTGACTACTATCTCACTCAGTATGTGGGAGTTGGGTTTTGGAGTTTTGATAATTTCACTTAAACATTTGTGGTACAGAGGAAGTGTCAGCCCATAGCCATATCTTAAGACCAATGTGACTGATAAGTCATAACAATCTATCTCTGTTTTACTTTAAAATTTTTGACATTATCTTATCCCTTGCTTATGGATGCTTAGGACAAACAGTACAGTAGAAAGAATCTTGCACATGACCTAAGCATGAATCACAGCAAGGCATGAGAAAATACTGTTCCACCTTTTTCTGGTAACCAGAATATATGTCTGGCTATCAGATTTTCAAGACATTTTCAACCCCTGGCATATGTAATCAGATTATATTGCATTTGAGTATGTTATATTTATGTGTGCATATATATGAAGAATGGGAAGTTACCAGATATGTACCTGACACTTGGTCCATATACAGGATTTCATGAAGGCCTTTATCTGGAAATGGAACACTCTATATCCTTTAATTATTGAACTGATTGTTCAGTTCATTTATCGAGAAACATTTATCTTTTATATTGTAACATCATTTCAAAAATGCTTTATTGTTGTCTCACGTAAGATATGTGTCTGTTTTAATACTGAGGTAAGGTGTAAATTCATGTTTTAGGGGGGTGAAAACTGTTCTAGACTTAATATTTTTGCTGATTTGACTGAGTGAAAATTTTTAATATGGGAGAGAGGGAAGTCATTTAATTAAAAAAAGTAATTCACTTGGAAAGAAATGAGTCAAAACTGTGTCTTAACGTCTGTGAGAATGACAGTAAAAGTAATTTATATTCTGTCATACTGAACAAGCAAATTTGCAGAAATTTTGTAAATTGTAAATTTTTGCCCAGCAACGCCTGTAAACACGAGATTACGTAACAGGGAAGCGAGGCGCGTTTTCCGCTGTCTGGCTGAGAGTTTATAAGAGAACTGGAATGCCTAAGAAGTCAGTTGAAATACACCAGCAGTCGCGGAAAGAAGAACTGAACGCGTGGTTAGAGGATTTAATAGTGTGCGATAACTGAGAAGTCAGCCAGTGAAGACTTATTGTGTGACTTCAAGATTTTATGTGTGCTGTAGTACAGTTATATTGGGAGTGCATAATTCACAGAGACTTGTATAGCTCCCATGTTATAAATATGTGAAGACTACTGAGGATAGAGTGAATAGAATAGTATGTGGGGTTTGTAAATTGTGTAAACCTGCAAGAGTGTTATAATTAATTGTAGCTACAACTTGTAGATTGTTAAATAAACCAATTAACAATCCAAACGTTGTCTTCAGTAGCAAACACATTACAATATAATGGAATTGAATGTAAAACTTAGGCTTTGAAGTTTTTTGAAGAAACATTGCAGCTGAGCAGGATTTTTTGTCTCCAGTTATCTTCATATACATGCACCCATATAAATGACCTTATGTTTGAAAGATTATCTCACTGGGAAGCATTTTATTATTAAAACTTTAAAAAGCTAGTGGTGGTTGTGATGTAAGGAATTGCACAGGTGGAGGGAAATTAACACAAGATACAGTTTCGATCCTTGTTTACCTGATCCGGGCTGGGTGTCCCCACTCGGCTGTTGCTGCTGCCAGGTCGTTTGTTCTTCCTTGGGGGTGGAACAGGTGCAGGCATGTGTTCATTTTTGGGTGGCAGTGGGGGGCGGAACGTTTGGAACCTGGAAGTTTCCAGAGCCTATAAACATAATAATTATGAGTGTAGATTTTTGGCTTCTGTGTTATGTTACGAACATTTTGAAGGAACATGCTTCCTTCACCTTCAGGAGGAAAGGTAATATGTCTAGGAAGTGGAAGGGTTAAATAGAAAGGTTAGTGTGGTTGAAAGCAAGGAGTTCCAGGAGATGGCCCAGTCAGATCCAAGGGAGGGGGAGAGGAGACAAAACCTTGTCTGGGCCAATGAAAATGAGGAACAGGAAATTCTTGTTTAAGAAGTTGTACAGCCCTTAGAAATGTTCAGTCTTTACATCTGTGTACATGCAGAATGTTTTCGGCATCATGTTAAGAGACTTAAAGAAAACTGTTTACTGAGCAAGTATGAAAACTTAAAAATATTACTGTTTCACACACAATAGATACTCTCACTCCTGTTATTTGTGGTAGACAATAAAAGCATGTACAATGTAAATTCTGACATCCGTAACATAAATACAAGGCAAAAACTCAACTTGCTCCAACAGTCAGCAAATCTGTCTCAGTATCAAAAAGGAGTGCACTCCTTCAGCGTCGAAGTGTTTAATAGCCTCCCTCAGAGTCTCAAAGAAGCAACTAGTAACATTAAGCAATTTAGAACAGCATTGAAACGTTACTTCCTTACCCACTCCTGCTCCATATATGAATATTTCATTGTAAACAAACAGTAATTAGTATCAGTTCTAGGCTAAACTATATTCCAAAGATGTTACAGTATCATTTTGTTTATTTGCAGACTGTGCTGTATGTATCCAATTAGCATGGTAATATTAATACCGCACTAAAATCTTATTAACTTTTAAAACAAAATTATTATTGAACATATATTATGTATTTGTATTTGACTTGTTCCATATCCTATGGTCTAAACCTGCACTTGGATTTATGGAACGTAAATAAATTCAAATTCAAATGCACGGGAAGATGTTTCATTTGTATTGTGGAGGTACTTGGTATCAACTTCAGATGAGTACTAAGTGTTCTGTCGTATTTCTGGTACCTTACAATAATTGATGCAAGTGCATGTACGGAAACCTCCCACAGTGAAACGAGCACTACTGAATCAGTGCTCCCCACGGCATCTCCAACGTCCATTGGTTAGCGCGCCACCTAGAGGCAAAAGTATAAAGATGCGGACGTGCGACACGCTAGCGTCATTCACAATCGGCCACAACCGTCACAGCTACGCTTGCATCAAGACAACAGCGCGACAGCGAGTGTAGTAGCAGCCGACTCTGTCAGTGCTCATCAGGCCAACCAGCCGCAGCAGGAGCCTCACCGGCCAGCCGGCTCGAAATCAACGGGCTAGTGCAAAAAAGAACGCCGTCACTAGCTCAAGCTAGCCAGTTTCACGTGTTTATCCTTTCGAGCATTGACATTCCTACATTGGTGATCCCGACGAAGCATGGAGGCTGCAGGCAGTTCCCCACCAGTAGAGGTATCCAGAGTGGCCTTGCGGCTCCCGCCATACTGGACCGAGCCGCCAGCTGTGTGGTTCGCCCAAGCTGAGGCGGAATTTACCTTGGCCAGCATCAGTAGCGAGATCAAGCTCTGCCACGTGTTCTCGCAGCTAGACCACCGGTACGCCATGGAGGTAGAGGACATTATCACCTCTCCGCCGGAACAGCACCATCAATCTGCCAGTCGACTCAACCCCAGCCGTAGCATCACCTACGCCAGAGCCCTCCGCACAAATTGCACGCTTCGGTCTCCACTTCCATTTCCTCCCACGCTTCAACATCTAAGCAACCATCTCCGCCGGTGGGTGAAGTGGGAACCTCCCACCTCCCATTGGTTAGCGCGCCTAGCGGCAAAAGTATAAAGATTCGGACGTCCACCACGATGGCATCATTCTCGTCAGAGAGGGTGTCCCAAATGGACAGGACAATAACTTTCATATGAGAATAAAATCTGGTCATGAGCCCCCACCTGGGGCTCAACACCAAGACAGACAGACTGACCGACCATCAGTCGCAATATGACTTTGACTTTGACGATAGCATCAGTCACAACTACGCTTGCATGAAGACAACAGCACAACAGCGAGTCTAGTAGCAGCCGACTCTTGTCACCAATCGCCAGCGCTCATCAGGCCAACCAGCCGCGGCAGGAGTTTTGCAGGCCAGACGGCTCGCAATCACCGGGCTACTGCAAAGAAGAAAGCCAGGCTTCTGCGAAGAAGAACGCTGTCACTAGCTCAGGCTAGCCCGTTTTACATGGTAGCCTCTTCGAGTATCGACATTCCCACACGTGTATTTCGTTGAAATAGGTTATGACCACTTTCTCGGTTATTTTACATAACCAGTATATTGATGCTATGTCATTAGGGCCCTGGAATGATTATGACAATACAACTTTGGAAAAAAATAAGCAATATATGTCGCTGCGACCCCCCCCCCTCAAGAATGTAAAGTGGCAGGATGTTGGCCCTGTGGAAATTTTGTTTAGCTTTCGGTGTGATGATGACAAGACACTGAATATGGGCACATTAAATCTGGTGTGGTGATGGATTATAAATGTACCTACACATTTTGAATGAAACATTGCTTGTAAGTCAACAATTACATCTATGGTGACAGTTCAGAATTTTAAGGTTATGTTTGGGAGAATCTGTAATTGAGGCGTTTGCAGAGGTAAAGTAACATATCGGTAATAGCACTAGATGTGTAGAACTCAGAGATCTATGTAGCAGGAACATAGGCTTTCTGAGTTCTGATGGGGAAGGTTTTGCTTCATTCATAGTTTGGTTCTGGAGGCTTTAAATTTCTAGAACAAAAGAGAAAAGCTAAATTAGGGTAATGTAATTTGTTGTTAGAACTTCTATCCCTTGTGTGCAGAAGCCTCCATTTATATACAATTTAATGGCCTAGGGGACATTCATTGTATCTGATTCAGATCTATGGTGCAGAAAGTACTGTATGAGACAGCCTCCCATTAGGCAGATTGTCCCTATAATGCATGTAAAAGGGTTCCTTTTAAAACATAAGACTACCACTGTATGAAGCTGTAAAAGGCTAAGACTTTGTTTTTGATGGTTATACCTACTTTTCTGACATGGCTCTGTCGCTTGGGGTGCCTGTGGTACATATCATCACAGGAGAGGCAGAAGATCTGCTGAGCACACTTATCACAGCGAACAGTGGGGGTAGAGCATCCACACAGATCACAATGGCGGCCATCTCGTTTTCCATCTCCTTCAGTAGATTAACAAAACCAGTGTTGATACAGACCATCAAGAATTTTATTACAACAAAGCTTTTCTTTATGGCATTTTATGGAATATGAGCCTGGGTAGCTTGTTAGCAGATGATGGAAGGTGTACTAGTGAAATTAAATCTAGGATTGCCATGGCAAAAGCTGCATTTAGCAAGAAGAAGAATCTTTTTACCAGCAAATTGGACCTAAATTTGAGGAAGAAACTAGTGAAATGCTACATTTGGAGCATAGCTCTGTATGGGGCTGAAACATGGACACTTAGGGCAGTAGATGAGAAACATCTGGAAAGTTTCGAAATGTGGTGTTGGAGAAGGATGGAGAAGATCAGTTGGACCGATTATGTGAGAAATGAAGAAGTGTTAATTAGAGTCAGTGAGCAGAGGAATATCCTACACGAAATAAGAAAACGGAAGGCCAATTGGATTGGTCAAGGTGTACACAGAAACTGCCTTCTAAAAGAAGTTATTGAAGGAAAGATAGAGGGGCGGATATAAGTGACAAGAAAACGTAAGAAGATGCTGGATGACCTTGGGGTGAGAAGAGGATACTGTCAATTAAGGACAAAGCTTTAGATCGCATTAAGTGGAGGAACTGTTTTGGCAGATACTGTGGACCTGTCGTCTGACAGATTACTGATGATGATTATGAGCCTGGGTAGCATTGCCGGAATAGTGACTGGCTACAGGCAGAATGATGCCTGGTAGAGATAAAGTACTTCTCTCCACTATCATATCCAGTCGCCATCCTGTTCGGTAGGTAAACTTGTGCACTTCTCCCAGAGGTAGACTGTGAGACTCACTGTTTACGCCCATTTGGTGGTTTGGTTTTGCTTCCAGTATGCGTTTAAGGTATGGTGTTTTGGAACATGGGCAACTTTTCTTTATGCCTTTTATTTTGTCAGTTAAAGTACGGCTATATTACTATAAGAATATTCACCACAAACGCTGACTTGGAAATTGGTACATATGTTTTGGTATTCCATATATTGTAATCGTATTTCCATCGCTTGAAATCGTTTAATTTCGTCTATGATTAGTCACGTTGTGTTCTGCCGAGGATGAGAAACCTACCTGTGGCTTGGATTCCTTCTGTGGCCATATCATTGTCATTAGTACTCTTATCTGTAATTTACATTCTACACAATCCTCCGTTACATTTTTAGCGATAGTGGATTTCATGGAGACAAGATCTTACGCTGTTAGCTGTTGCCAGAGGCTTGGATCCTGTTTGCGACCATACAAGTGTCATTAGTATCTGTAATTTGCACTCGATGCTATCTTCCGTCGTGCTTTTAGTAAGAAGGGTATTTTGAGGAACCAGGTACTATAATTTTACCAGTGGTTCTGTATGGGTGTGAAACTTGGTCTCTGACATGAAGGGAGGAACATACACAGTGTGTCCAGGTTCTGTTATGATTGCGTTCATTAAAAATACAAGACGTGAATTGTTTTAAAAATTTCACTCTTTTTATTCAAAATAGTCTCCTTCTGAATCAATACATAGCTGGAATCGATCGAAAAGTTTTCGAAAACAGTCACTGTACTCCTTTTGTGGAATCGCATTTAAAAGTGTGGTACATTCCCTTTGGATGTCCTGGATGGTTTTGTGACGGTCTCCTTTTATCGCCAACTTAACTTTTGGGAACAAAGAGAAATCTGCTGGAGCCAAATCTAGCGAATACAGAGGATGATCAAGGACTGTGATCCCTTTTCTGGCCAAAACATCGCGCACGATCTTCGATTTGTGGGGTGGGGCATTGTCGTGGAGGAGCGACCAGGAACCTTGCTCTCGATATTCAGGTGAAATTCAAAGAATTCTCACCCACAAACGATTGAGGACTCCGAGATAATAATCAGAAATCACTGTTTGACCTTCTGGCAGAAATTCCTTATGAATGATTCTTTTAGACTCGAGGAAAACGGTTAGCAGTGTCTTTACTCGACTCTTTTGCATGCGCACTTTCTTTGGTTTCGGCTCGTTTGGGCGCAACCACGCTGCATTCTGCCGCTTTGTGAGAGGCTCATATTGAAAACACCATGTCTGGATACCAGTAACAATCGATTTTGTAAATTTTGTATCACATTGGGCCGACCGTAACATGTCTTTGCAGTGTTCCACTCTGGCATGTTTTTCATCGCCTGACAGCGCGTGCGGTACAAACCGCGCACAGACCTTCCGTTTGCCCAAATCCTCGGTCAAAATTTGATGCACAGTACTTTTTGGTATTCCCAAAAGCTCCTCGATGAGTCTTGCAGGAACACATCTGTCTGATGGAAGGATTTCGGTCCTGTCACTTTTTGCACATTTTCTTCAGTGCGAAATGTTCTCGGATTTGATGCCCGTGGAGCGCCTTCAGTGTTCTCCCTGCCGTCACGAAATACAGCATACCATCGAGCGACTCAAACAATCACTACCGTACACACTTTTCATCATTTCGTACGCTTCTCCGGCTGTTTTACCTAACTTCAAACAAATTGATGTTGGCTCTCTGTTCAACCGCCATTTTCCAACGAGTGTCAGAACAGTACTGTTACATTCAAAGTCAGAACACATGATGCAGCGATGCTTGTGCTTTGAAATTACAGACAGCCACAACTGAAACTTCAAGAATCTTAACACCACAACTCGCCAACAGATGGAATCGCAGGGCAAAATTAAAAAAAAAATAAATAAATAAAATAAAAAGAGTCCTAACGGATCCCGGACACACCGTGTAGACTGAGGGTATTTGAGAACAGGGTGTTGAGAACATTTGGGCCGAAGAGTGATGAAGTGACAGGAAGTTGGATAAAACTGCATAATGAGAAGCTTCATAACTTGTACTCTTCTCCAAGTATAACTAGAATTATCAAGTCAAGGAGGATGAGGTGGGCAGGACATGTAGCACGAATGGGGGCTCTTGGCTGGAAGAAAATAGTCAGTTGGATGCAGTTGGACAGTTAGACAGTTACGCAGTTAAATAATTAGTTATATAGTGACGACCACTAAACGGTTACACAGAGATTTATGATTTTTTTATTGTTAGTGGGGTGGGACTAAGTCCCTTGTACTGCGGCCGCTTCTGGCCTATTGTACCAGCCCCAGATGATAGGTGAGGGTGATTTTGGAGAAATTGGTGGAATGAAGATTGGCAGAGGAAACAGAAGTACTCTGAGAAAACCTGCCCCAGCGCCACTTTGTCCACCACAGATCCCTCTTGACCAGACCCGGGATCGAACCCGGTCCACCGAGGTGGGAAGCCAGCGACTAACCGCTTGAGCTATGGCGCGGCCATTAGTCGAGAGTGTTGCAACAATTAAATAAAATATGACTTTAATGGCATTTTATGAATTTTATAAGTGATTGTAAATGACATTTTAAAATAATAATTTGTGTTGCATTAGAGACGGAAGCAGGTGGACAAGTGATATTCCTCTTTGAGGCCCCACCCTTAAGGGTCCTTCGCTCCAAATTTCCATCACTCGTGACATACTGTGTCGTCCTCGGAGAGACCTTGATCCTGTATTAGTTCCTTCATGTCCTCTTTCCAGATTCGTTGTTTTCTATTAATTAAGCAAATGATGGAATCGCATATTAAAATACGTAGGTACCACGAACACCAAACTCAAAGTATGTAAAATAAGGATGTCTATCAAGGTAGTAATTAATTGTTGACAAATTTGTGGAACAATTGCAGTAGTACATTTTTAACCTCTTAGAGTTGCAAATTGTACGGACTTTATATTATTTGTCGCGACTCATGTGAACTAAAATAAAAAGAGATCTCTTGTGCAAGCTTTCATTACAAATTGGCTTGTAATTTGAAGTAAAATCCCACTCTAGTCTTTATGTCCTATTTACTAGCAATGATAATATGTATGACAGAGCTCAAGGACCTCTTCCTGAAGGCCGTAGTTTCGTGACTTCTTTTTTTTTTTTTCGTGGTACCTACAGGAAAACGCTGGCATAGCACCTTAAAATGGGCTACAATAATGATCCTCCTACAACCCTTCCAATTCATCATTCACAGAGTTTACCAAAACTGGTGTAAGATATAGCATGTAACAATACATTGCCGATAATGTCGAATTGATGATACTCACCAGCTGCGGCCGGCTTCGTGACGAGTGGAGCATTGGTGTAAGCTTGTCCTGGGAACTCGATGACCTCATAGTCGGGGTCCAGCGGTGGCGGCTCGGAGGTGGGCAGAGGTGGAGGGGCGATGTTTTCATTTGGCTCACGGGCATGCTGTGTAAACATAGTACAGAGGTAATCATGAGGCTCCAGTTATAGCGAGTCGCATGCTGAGGTTCACCGTGTGTAGGAAGGAAAAGTTACGACTCTTTAATTCAGAATCACGTCAACAAACTTTGCATGAGAACTGTATAACCGAATTATGCATAGCTTCTAGTTCGGGCGAGTGTGTTAGTTCATCATTGTAAACAGTGACTTCCTAAATGCGGCTTTTGATGCATTTCCACGGGGCGGCAAGAAACGAATTGGAAGAATAGTTTTAGACATTGCGAAGGTTTATTGCCGTGCTCACGCGATCCTGAGTCACATGAATCCACATCAGATCTTCGGGACCTATTTAATTCTGGATTACTGGGTTTTTGAACTTTGTCCATCATCCGGTATTCTAAAGAACACAGCGTTTAGGAAATTGGATTCGATGACAGTGACTGAAGTTAGTCCTTTCTAACGGACTCATCAGAGTAGATGTCTCCCACCCCCACACCTGAGGACGAAAATAAACCAAGTTTCCAAACGCCGTGTTCTTTAGAATACCAGACGATGGACAGAGTCCAAAAACTCAGTAATCCTGAGTATTATACTCTTATAATCCGAACCATTTGGAATAAACCTGTGTGTGTAGGATCAAGTATTGATTTACGACAGTAACAATTGGGATTTGTTCACGTAACTAAATGTTTTGTTTATTTTTATTAATATTTCATGTATCCCCTGACAATAGATCACTGGTTCTCAATATCACATCCTGCATTCCACTGGCCATGTTCTCTTAACCTCATTTCCACCGTAGATAAAACAAAGCTTTCCCCCAAGAAGAGCATTTCTTACAATTATGTGTATTTTCATATTTTAGTAATCATTAATGGAGTTTATATTCGAGACCTCATGTTCCAGCCAGCCGACTATCTAGTTCCACCAGTCGGACATGTCCCGCAAGTTCAGTTCCTTCCAGTCTCGCCTTATAGCTTGAAATATTTACGAAAAAGTTGGAGACGTAAGTTCTTTCGAGAACTTGTTTTCCGCTTTATACTATTAATTAGTTACTCGGCTTCTCTTCTATGTGCTGTGCTTGGTTACAGCAGAAGAGATACAAGAACATGCATTGCATTTTGTCATGGTGTTGAGCACGTGCATATCAGGAGGCTCATAAACCGTGGGCGTGCCTCTTCCACGTTGGCACTGCACCGTCAGTAGACTCCTTTCCGTATTTTAAAATAACCGGAGCCTACCAGCCGCTGCTAGCAATCAAACCAGTAGTACCTCTGCCGTCTTCTCGAGGCTGCTGTCTGCCTCATCTGGCAGCTATGGTTTCCGGTACTTTGTTGGCACAAGTAATGGGCTTCCTTACTCTGTCTCTCCATTCCTATCAACCACTAAGCTAATGCGCTGTTGTTAAATGAGTGTTGGCAGAGTTTGACACGTGGAGTAGGTCAGAAGGGGTTCTATAGCATGCTTGGTCGTTGCCTTAAAGATTGGGTTTACTGTTTTCAAGATGGTCTGACAATCCTTCTCAGCTTTCGTGCAATTCGAGACGGTCTTGCGGGCGACGTAATGGGTTTTACGCATTCATGTACAATTTAATAATAAGTTGAATTTTTTTTTATTTTCGAGAAATTATGGTGATCTGAAGGTATTTTAAGCCAGTTCAGAACCATGCAAGGGCCGACATATTTCATGAGATGTGGACACACGCTTTTCCTCTGTTCTGCCGTTAGAATACCAGGTAAATGACTGTGTGAGTCAGAGTTCTTCTTGTGAATCTGATAGCCGCCGAGTTGGTCAGGATATTTCCCACCTTTTACGGAATCTGAAAATTCATTCTCTTTCTTACAAGAGCCTGCCTCTGGATTCCATCGTGCTTCAGCTTAAACCACTCATGTCATTTAGATTTAAGATACGTTGTAATAGAATTCCTCCGTCTGCGCCTAGGACTCCAACGTAGTTTCTTACATTCAGCTTCGGAATCAACATGTTTTTTTGTGAATTTCTCATCTCGCCTTACATGTATGTATTCCTCATATCATCATCCTTCGTTTGATCATCGTAACAAGCCGAAAGGTCGCAGGTTCGGTTCCCGATGAGGTCATTGGATTGTTCAATCGGCCTAACCCTTCCAGCAGCACTATGGCCCTGGGGTAGACTCAGCATCTGACAGAAAGGAATACCAGGAATCTTCCTTGGGAGTAAAGGGGAGCCAGACGACGCGTAAGGCTGTCAACCTCATCGCCATCTGTGAGCCGAGTGTCTAGAAAATGTGGGAGCCTCGACGTCTCACAACCTTATGGGTCTCCACGACCTGTGTCAGGGATAACTTTAATTTCAATAGCATAATATTGGGCAGAGTACAAATTATGGAACTCGCCGGTGTAAAAAGTAGGAGGAGGTATTTTCTATGTGACGCTACTTCTAATAAATGTCGAAACTATATATGTATATAACAAGTGTAGCTCTGCGGTAATGCTGCCGGTGTTCGAGAATAACCGTGGCCCGAGATCCGACTCTTCTGACTAGAGTTTTCGTGTTTCCTCCAGACCAATTCCTGACACTACATTAAAATGAACTACGACTGCTACCTAACGCACTCGACGGAGCAAATTCTTGCTGGGAGAGCCAATAGTGCCTTCCTTAAACGTGTAAATTGGACCGTCAGCACAACATAAAACTATCTTCAAGATGAAGACAAAATAGATACTGCTGTATCACTATTGTTTATTTATTATGCGAAGGTGTACGCTACATGTTTCGACCTTTTCTAGGTCATCATCACTCGAGATATAGTAAAAACAAACTTAGTTCTTGAATTGAGTTGTCTTAATATGGATCCATACTTCAGAGTCTACGGTTATTAGTATAGCGAATAAACCTTCTGGAGAATGTAAACTAGTAACATATGCAAAATCCTAGTGATGCGCGGTTGTTGTCTAAGTAATTAAAGCCTATTATATTATGAATTTTACTATTTAGTATTAATCAATTTGTTAATATAATATGTGTTAAAGCCGGTCACGGTAGCCGAGCGGTCTGAGGCATGTACTGTCTTCGCTCGCTTGGAAACCGGGATCGTGGGTTCGAATCCCACTCAGGGTATTGATGTTTAGTTTGTGTGTGCGTTTTTCAGTGTTTGTGTACAGGTAGAGGCCTTGCGACGAGCTGATCACCCGCCCAAGGAGTCCTACCGAATGTGTAAGATATAGAAAAACCGAAGTGATCGGAGAAGTTCATGGAGGTAGGCCTAGGCCCACTGGGGCTGTAGTGCCAAGGAAAAAAAATGTGTCTTAAAATTGTTTCAAAAGTTATTAAAATGTTAATACAATTCTAAGTTAATTAAGCCGTCGAATTATTTATTTAGTTATAAGTTTATTTCTAAAAATAGTCTCGAAAATTAAGCCGAAATTAAAATAGTTTAATGTTGTCGTTGAGGTCGTGGTTGTTAGTAAATCTTGGGTGGATGTGTCGTGTTGGGGGTCCTTCTAATTTCTGCGTTTTAGATTTTATTGATGAAAGTAAGTTGCATTTAAAGTAATAATGTGTTGTTATGCGTGTTTAAGAGTTGTATGTTGTATACTGTATATAGACTACAATAGTGCCTTACTTAGTCAAGAAGTTTTCGGTCTTTTATGGAACAGAAAGATTTATTACCGCGTTCACGGGAGCCCGCCGCTTGTTCTTATCCTGAGGTAGGAGAATCCCACCCAACTTCTCATATCCTGCTTCTCTTACATTACACTGTAATATTATCCTTGTATCTACACCTGATTTTACCAAGTGGGTTCTTCCGTTTAGATTTTTCAACTACAGCTCTGTACGCATTTCTCCTCTCCGTCATACATGATACACGACCTGTCCGTCTTATCCTCTTCATGTGATCACGCTGATAATATTTGATAAATAATGTATCAACCAAAGCGTTCCCACCTTATGTTATTTCGCAGGAAGCATGATTGCAACCGAAGACTGGCGAGAAGGCGCGGGAACGGTCGGTTCTCAGTTCAGTTTCGTCTCTCTTTCGTAATATCCTGAATTCAATTGTTAACGCATAAGTGGGGCGAGGATAGCTTAGTCGATATAGCGATGGCCTACGGGCTGGACGGACTTAGTTCGATTCCCGGAGGAGCTAATAGATTTTCTCTTCTCCACAGCGTCCAGATCGACTCTGCGGCCCACCCAGACTCCTGTCCAATGCGTGTGGTGGGCTGTTTCCCCGGGGCGTGAAGTTGACCACTCACCTGTACCTAGTGCGGTCAAAAATGGCGGAGCTATATCTCCACTTCCCCATACGTCTTCATGGCGTAGTGCTCGATTAATTAATTAAGAACAGGGACAAATCTTCGTTGTTACGCATACATTGGGGCGTGCGCTTTCTCGGTTCAGTTACAATTTTTATCACTAGCCGAGGAAAACAGTTACTTGAAATTCTAATGATCATTGTCTTCTAGGATGTAGCGCTGTGTAGTCTAATAGAAGTTTTACGGACGTTTCGGAGGAACGTACTGACTCCATTTTCAGGTCCGAAGAGTAAGACAAGAAAGCATTCGAAACGTCCGTGAACTTCTAACAGACTACACGGCGTGGCATCTGAGGCAGTAGCACTCTTCATAAAAACCCCTGCGACAGCCTCGGATATCACTTCAGATTCTGTTTATGTAATTTCGGTTTTAGTCACTCGTATGTTGAAGCTGTTGAAATGTTTCGGCGTGCATTGCAATAGCAATCTTCAGCATGAACATGAGGCTGAAAGTGGCAATGGACAATACAGAGGTCGTCCAGTGGAAGCAAGAGGGAAGGTGTGCAGCATGGTGCTTTCCCATGGGAAGGGCCACGTGGTTCAGGAAAAAAAGTGCTGGAGGTAAATCCGTCCCTGTGATTGAAGCTGTGGGTGTTATTTCATTACTTCAGCCGCTTCTCTGATGTTGCAGGGATGGTTAGGGCGGAAGTTTGCCTGCTCGTCAGTTTTGTTGAAGTCAGTGCTGTATTTCTTCATTGTACAGAGTTCG